ACCAGTGTTACAAGAAGACAAAACATTCTGTTTTTTTCCAAGCAGCAAGTTACAACATGAAAGTGAACGTGGTGTGCAGAACACTTTTCACCTCCACGTTCCCATCCAGAACTGTATTTTCCCTTGATAAATGATGAACCACGTCCTACAGCTGTGCTACATATTTCAGACTAACAAGGGCAGAAGTAAGGTCACACCAATTCTAGAGTGCTGTCTATTGAGACAAAGGGACTCAGGCTGTTGTCATGTGCTCTGTGTTTCATGCAGCATAGATTTAGACTATTTCCCTAATCCCTTGTTTTCCTGAGGACCTGGCAACAGTTTATGTACACTGAAGTTAGAGACATGGCCAGCTTATGCATTTTTCCCTTCCTCTACCAAACATTATCTTGTTCCTTTAAACCCAGCTTAACCTTACTTTGCTTCCTGTTTCTTCAGGGCACATACACCAACAAGAGAAGTGAAAGCAGCTATTTCTGTTTTTCCACTGCTCTGAGCAGTTCCTGAATGCTTGAAAGTGAATAAGAGCCAGAGACACCTCCTAGAAGATGAGTGAATCTCTAGTTCCAGTTCAAAACAAAAGGGATCCTTGAATTAAACCTGTGGTGCAAAATTTCTCATCCTCATCTAGTAACAGGAGTTTGATCTGCTGCCAGCAACGTATGGCAAGAGCTGAACAGTAAACTTGGGAATCATGTCACTGATCACCTGCTGTCTAAAAAATTCAGATGGTCATCTAGCCCTCCTCAGCACACAATGCAGACAGACAGACAGAGTACATCACATCCCTTTTACTCCTACTTTGGGTTGGTACAGATTGCTCCTGGAAGGTGTCTCTTTGTCTCCATAGGGTGTGAAGACTCGTATGAGCTAGATGCTGAGCTATCAGGCTGGGGTTAGGTGAGAGGCACTGAAATCATCTTAACAGCTATGTTTATCTGGGTCTTTTGTCCATCGGGGCATTTATAGCTAGGATCTCCTGATGCTGTCAATTCCAAGGCATTCAGAGGACTGATAGTGGTGTCTCCAGTGATCTCATGTCTCTGTTGCTTTCTGCCTGTTTTTGTTTTCAGGATGTTACTCCCCTTCAACCACGAACATGACTCTAGAATTACAAAGAAGATGGAAGATGATGGAAGAAAAAAAGATGCCACTCTTAATGGCATCTGAAAAATGTCCAAAAGCTGCTCTTAAATGAGTAGCTCTATGAGCAATGTGACTGGTGACTCCTGATTTCCTATGGATTCCTGTTTACAGTTAAATTCTCTGGCGCTTAATAATGTACAAATGCCAATTACAGCTTCTCTGGCACTTGAAGAGGTCATAATGATCCACTCCCACATAAAGTGTCTGGTGTCATATCTGAGTTCTGCCTGGGCCTTTCCTCTAGAGAAGGCACACACATGATATGTCTCTTCTAGAGAGACATCTATTTTCCTGACTGGAATTGAATGTGAGTTCAAAGACCTGAGTGGAATGACAGCAAAACAGAGCCAGTCTTCCAGCAAGCAGCAAGCTTCTTGAAAACTCAAAGAGAATCCATTTATACTGTAAGGAAGTAAACTGAGAATGGAAATACTTTTCCCTCTGTTCAACTTTCAGTGAAAACTTCTCTTCACTTCTGCCTCTTTTCCTGTCACATCACACCTCTGAAGGCACAGACCTGGCAGATGGCAAAAAAAGAGTAGTTGGTTTTGTTATTATTTAGATACAGAGCACCTTAATGTATGCTAGTAACTGCTAAGTTGGGTGGAGAAGCTTCCTGATGGAAAATTGTACCTCCCTTTGGGAAAAAAAAAAGAAAGAAAAGAGGTGGTACTTGGAAAGATGAAGGGCAATTCAGTCCTTTGAATGCTCATATCATAAAACTGAATATGAAATAATTGCCATAAATGAGGCAACTGCTCCTACACCCTCTGCAACCTGGATGACATCCTTCTGTGTCATCAAAATTAAAGTTACTTGCAGAAAACACATCACTTACTGCCTTATCTCAGTTACCCAAGCTCACACATACAAGAAAAGAAGACCAAAGTCTTCTAAATTGGTTCTCTCTACAAAGAAATTTAACTCTGCAAGGATTTTAAGTCTATTTTTTCCTCCAAAAATACTGGCACTAGGAGAGGCGTGATTTTATCCCTAAACAGGGTGTTCCTTAGGCTCTTTGCCAATTTAATTGGCTTATTCATATCCTTCCCTTCCAGATTACCTCAGGGTGATTTACATGTTGGAGGCCTATAAACACTGATGAATCAGTATATGAAAACCAAAAACATTGTTCAGTGTCTGACGGGGTCCTCACTGGTTTTTGCCCCCAAATTATTTGTTCTCACTGGAACAACCTAATATGTCATCAGCCTCTGACATCATTCTAATGCTATACAGAAAAAAGAGTTGCTAAAATACAATGGCACTACTGTAATTTGTTTTTTACCAGTGTTTCCAGGTACTCTGTAGGAGCAAGCAACAGGTGAGGTTTTCAAGTGGGAAGATACAGATGTCCCCAGACTGGCTTCTTCAGTTGACTGGCCATTTTGAAGACTGTCTCCTTCTCATTTTCCATCAATAAATCACTGTGACTGAGCTCTAAAGAAATGCAAATACAAAGACAATTTAATTTCCTCTCTCTGAGAAACATAATTTTTGTTGTAGCACTTCAACATCTACACTAATATGGCTTTATTTAGAAAGAGCTGGTGGACTTCCAGTGAATTCAAAACAATTTCCTTCACATGTTAAACATGAACTACATCTCTAGGAAATATTTTGCAGGCCAATTAAGGACAACTTTACCTCTACCAAATACAGAAATAAGCAAAGATTTGTATTCATGAATAAAGAAAGAGGTTAAAGAGGTTCATTTTGCCTTTTGGTCGATTAAAGTCTTAGACTTGCATGTTTCTCCTTTTTGTGACATGAACACTTTCATAGAATCATAGAATGGTTTGGGTCAGAAGTCACCTTAAAGATCATCTAGTTCCAACTCCACTAGAGCCCATCCAACCTGGCCTTGATAAAATGATTTTGATAAAATGCACTAGAAAGCTTTACAGAACATACTTTTCTACAACTTTGGTAACAATTTAATATATTTTGCCTCAGTATTCTCACAAAAAGCAGTCACTCCATCACCCTCTAGGAAATTACTATACCCCGTATTCAAACACATAACTTTTCCTCCTTACATTTTATGTCCCTGCAGTGCCTCTCCTGAGCAAGCTCCTTGCTTCTAGACCAGGGCTACTACTGGCTATACAGCCACTCAGGGAAATACAGCACCCTTCCAATAAGTTCCTATTTTGCTTTCCAAAGAAATCTCCATGCCTAACACCCATCTCCCTCATCATCAACCAGCACTTTTTAATCCATTTTGCAGTAACATTTCCATAATGTCTTTAAAAGCCACAGATTGCTTCATAAGGCAGTCCTCACCATTTTGGCACTTGTTTTCACAAGGACTTTTGCATATCAGATGCTAATAAACTCAGTACTCCTAATAACAGAGTCCATACACTTAAATACCTGCTGGAGGATGAACACTTCTCAACCATTACAGCTGAAATATTTCAAAGCCCAGTACTTTTAAAACAGTGCAAATGCCTTAAAACTAGTTTCCCTCTTTGCAGTGGCAGTTGTGGTTACAGGTGTCATGCACTTATTAGCTCTGCTTAGTTATTAAAACTTGCACACAAATTCACTCATATTTGCATTCACTGACTGTGTTTATCTACAAAAAAATCTACAATGCATTTGTCATGCCCACGTTGCCTCTATACAGCATGTTCATACAGAAGTTCCAAGCAACATCACAGAATTATTACAGTCCTTATATGTAAATGCAAGTGAGCCACTGCATGAAGCTTTTACTATATAATACAGGAAAGCAAATGTGTAATGAAATGGTGGGAAGAATGAGGGGTGAACTCCCTAGAATTAAAGCACATATATACATAATTTTTATAAACAGCTGGAATGTTTCATTCCTACTGAGTACTTGAAAAACACAAACCAGTAAATAGAATTCAGATCTCACAAGAAGTCCATTTCAGGACTGGATCATTTAGAGTAATAGAGGAGCATTGCCTAATGCGAGGGAAATAAACGGAGCCCACACTCCAGACTCACTGCAGGAAAGTGGAGACCTGGCAGCCCTTTGAATTCCTCCTCTTTGATCCACAATGAAAAAGGATAATGAGGGTGTTCGTACTCGCCCTTGTCTAGTTTTCACTTTCTTCAAGAAAAGGAGCTATGCTGATTCAGGGCTCTAGCTGTGGCCCGGGAGAATTTTTGTCCTTATACTCCCCACACATTAAAACCACTTTTTAAAAGTTCTCAAGATTTTCTCTCCCTTTCTAAAAGTTCTCAAGATTTTCTCTCCCTTTCCTTAATTCAATCAATTCTAGTAACAGACGCTTCTTTGTTGCTTGCCACCAAAGTATTTTAAGCACTTTGAATCCTGTCTCATTTTCGACTTGTTTCTAAAGGAGTCAGATCTGGCTTTTAGCTCTTTGTTTTTCTTTCAAAAACTTATTGAACGAGTTGTGCTCCTCCGCGTTCACTTCAAGAATACCACATTTTCTTTTGTCATGATAACTCTCACACTGGAATGCCTCAAACAATCAAATGCAAAAATAAAACTATCTTTTCTATTTATTATTTTTAATAGCATCCCTGTGGCTGTGAGTTTCAGATAACCACTCAAAAGGACATGCTGGGGGTCACAATGCAGAAAATGGGGCTAAACCCTTGCAAATTGTAGCTCAGGAAAGAAAAGCAGCGCCTTTTATTCAGGAATGTTCAGTTTATTACTCTCTATTTTACACCTTATGTTGCAACAGGAATTGACAGCTGCAGTAGGTCTGGCCTGCTCATCCACAGTGGGCTCTCTTTCCTATAACATGAAATGTAAGCTTGTGTTTTGTGAGCATGGGTATTGTGGAGAAAACCTGCTCCTGCTTCCACCCAAGCCAACAGAAAAAAACAGACTTAGGAGTCAGAGCTTTCCTTTCTTTACTTTTATTTAAATGTCAGTGTTTTATGTGGTTGTTTATTAAATAATAATAATACAATAATGCCCAGAGGCTCCAATTAAGACTGGGAAGTCGCTGCAGTGGGATTGTGCAAGGCGGAGGAAGGGACGGCGGGCTGGGAATTGCGCGGCTCCCCGGCGGCGGGAGCAGGGGCCGGGGGCCGGGACTGCTCCCAGCGCTGCCCGCCACCGGCAGCACCCAAGCCTTTTGTTCGCGTGGGAGTTTGATGCTACTTTGGTTTTGGGGTTTTATTCATTTGGGGTTTTTTTAATGTCAATACACAGAGCAACCAGGAAGACATACAAAGGGGTTTTCTTCAAAGTAGCTGAGGGAAAGAGTGTGTGTAGCTGTATATGCTAATTTTTATTAATTAAAACCAGAGCGCTGTGCTGGAGCTGTGCACAGGCTTTATTAGCTAATATTAAAACAAAGGGATGATCGTCTTCCACAGAAATTTCGCCTTGACATAGCTCTGTTTGCTGCAGCGGAGCTACTCCTCACTTCACACCAGTGTGAGCACAGGATCAGGCCAGGAGCCCTCAGGAAGGAATCAAAAGCTGAAAACAAAAGGACAAACAGGAGGCACACGGGGAGGACAATCCAAAGGAGTGGGATAAGAACAAGCATGTTGCTCTTGGCAGAAAGCAACTGCCAAAAATTAGTTGTGCAGTCAGTCTCTTGCTCAGTTCTTTTTGTTTTGTTATGAAACAGGATTTGTTTTTATTATAGAGGAACAGGACATATTTCAGGAGAAGAATCTGAGCTGGATAGGTGTTCTGGCAAAAGTACATTTTATGGGGAAATTTGAATGAAGGCAGTGTGGATTTGGCTCGCAAGATGGGTGCAGTTGTTTCAGGCTTAAAGAAAAAAGGGCAGCACAAGTGAAAGTCCTCTGAGGAAAGCTGGAGAAGGGAATGAAGAAGGGAAGGAAGTTATTAGAGGAAAGCTGGGCTGGACCAGAATGTGTGGGATTGACATAAATCCCAAATTAATGCATCAGCAAAGGAATGCCAGGCCCCAAAGGTGAAGCCTGAAACCAAAGGGATGAATAACCCAAGAACATCCAAGAAGGGGTGCAAAGGTGATGAGATGCTCCTGATTCGTAAGGAAGAAGGGTGAAGAGGGCAGTGAAAACTTTGTCTCCTGAACTGGTGAACAGAGAGACCCTGAACTATGGGTGGAAAGGAGAAACTAAAGATTCCCTGGGAGAAAGTTCTAGGAAGCTGGTAATTTATGAGCATCTGCAGCCTAAAGGTGACCTAAGTCTGGGGAAGAATTTTGGAAACAAGGTCTGAGGTGGGGAAACAGGTCATTGGAAATACTTCACAGAAGAGCAGCCATGACCTAAAACTAGCTTTTATATGAGAGGAAAAAGGAGCAGATCAGCTTGAAGGATTAGTGGTGGTGGAGAAAGGACAAGGAGTGGGTTTGCCAGCAGAAGATGGGTGCTATCTTTCATTTTATGAATAGAAAAGATATGCTAAATGAAAAGTACTGTAGAGGATTGGCAGAGGGGAAGAGAGAAGTGATTGATCAGAGGGGGAGAAGTAGGTTAAACCATAGGTGTGTATAGATGGTAGAGCACACATACATAGGACCTTGCCTGGGAGACCAAGGAGCATCCTGGAGGTCAGCTGCAGCAGGCAGGAAGAAGTTTTTGAGAATAAAATGTAGCCAGGTACTATCTGAAAAGAACAGAAGGATGGTAAGACAGGCAAGATAGTGACAGAAGTTGAACACTTAGTAAACAATCTGGAAAAATAGGAATTTTAACTCAAGTCCCCAGTTCTTCATTGCTCGATGCAGAAAATTGAGCTCAATACAAGCAATATTTCCACGGAGGCAACAGGGGAAAGTACCTGCCCATTTCTTATGTGTTTCAAGTGAACAGAATGAACAGTGTCTCACATCTCCTCCTAGTTCTGAGGAGGTCAATAGGAGATAGTTAATAGATAGCTGAGTTGTCACTATGTCCCATGCTGGCTTGTTCACTAACATACTGGCACAGAAGAAAAACTGACCTTTACCATATCTCAGCTTGACACAGCTGTGTAAGCTCACAGAGGATCCAGGCTCCAGTCCACTGAAAAAGTAGAAAGATGTTCACAGCTCAGCATATTTGACTTCAATGGCTCTTAATTTACATGTTCAGTATTACTCACATTATTAATACTTTGCCTGTAATTTTTTTTACAATTCCAGCTCTATATTTTCAGTTGACTAAATTCTACACTCCAATTAATATGCAATACCATGCTGCTCCTTTACCCTTAGAATCAATTATGAAAAGTTCTTTACAAAGATGTAAGAGAACATTTTTGAAAAAAAATCTTTTCATAAGAACTACAGTTTTCCTTTCTGCTAAAGCACTGTACCACTTTTTTTTTAAGATCAAAGGCAAAGCAGAGTTTGGTGCAGTGTTTGTCCAAAATCCAGGCAGGGAAAATTATATGTGAAGTTTAAAAATGTGAATTCTTAACAATAGTAAAAGGGAGGTAGAAAACCGATAGGCACAATGTAAAACGTTTGTGTATAAAAATATTTGAAATTGGGGTGTAAGGGTATTCAGGACATGGTGATGTAAGGCAATCTTTCTTTATGTTGCAGCAGCATTTCCAGTACCTTATGATACTGCCCTCCTTTTTTTGGTGATCCTACACAAAGTTGTGACTAACAACAGATAGAAAAGATTACTGATCCATGCTTTGCTAGTTGATGCTTTCCTGAAATCATTGAGGTAATTGCAGTAATCAGAGCTGCAAAACTTTACTCAGTGCTTCCTAATTATTCTATATCCAGGTCTGTTAGCACAATTCATGCATATACACCAGTGAGTTTAGTAATTTTCTTTTTATAGCTTCAATATATTATTCTGAATATAGGTGAACTGACTCAAATGGGTTATTCCTGCTTCATATCCTTTCAAACTGTCAAATTTTAACTCCAGCCAGCAACTAAGCACCACACAGCCACTCCCCTGGTGGGATGGGGGAGAGAATTGAAAAGGTAAAAGTGAGAAAACTCATAAGAGTTTTCTGAGATAAAGACATTTTAATAGGGAAAGCAAAAGCTGTGCACGCACACAATGCAAAGCAAGAAGTCATTCATGGCTTTCCGTGGGCAGGCAGGTGTTCAGACCCCCAGGAAAGCAGGGCCCCATCACACCCAACAGCGACTTGGGAAGGCAAACAGCACAGCTATGAATTTCCACCCCCCACTTCTTCCCCAGCTTTATGTGCTGAGCATGATGCCATGTGATGTGGAATGCCCCTTTCAGCTGTCCTGGCTGTGTCCTCTCCCAGTTCCCTAAGCACCTCCAGCCTCCTCATTGGTGGGATAAGAAGCAGAAAAGACCTTGATGCTATGGGAGCACTGCCCGGCAAAAATGAAAATATGCCTGTACTATCAGCACTGTTTTGGTCACAAATCTGAAACTTATCCCACATCAACTACTGAAAGGAAAATCAACTCCATCCCAGCCAAAACCAGCACACCTGCAAAATGTTTAATTCCACTTTGATTTTGTTGTAATTTTGTATTACAAAACTTCCTGGGTTATTCCTAGTAGCGTCACTGAAAACATCAATACCACAGAATCCCTTTTTGTAAAAATACTAAGCCTTACCTAAAGCCCACCTAACCTGCAACTAAAGATTGGGGTTTATTTTCACCCATACTGGTGCTTCTGGAAGAATGTTCTGGAAACTCATTCCTCTGGCACCTATAAATCTTCCTCTTATTTTCAGTTTGGGTGGGGTAACTGACAGTTCCTGTATCACAACATAGTCTTCATCACTAGAATAGATGTCCTGAACTTATTTTTTCCTTGTGCTTTTAGGGAGAAATCATAGAATTCAACAACTAGTAGGGGCAATAACATTTAAATAACAACACTTGAATTTCCTGGGGCTAATTTTTCCCTTTTACATTCTAATCAGCTCACTTATCTTTTCCTAAACAGATTCTGGTTTTAATTAATTTTTTCTGAATATGTGTAATTATATACAGTATTTTAGAGGAAATAGGTGTTTTGAATGTCTTTTATATTGGGAAATATACTTCTGTACTTCTGTTGGCAATTCCTTAGTAGCTCAGGCCTAAGAAACAGATTTTTCCTATTGAAAGTCAGTGCATATTATAAGTTCAGGTCATAATTTTTGGTACAGTTTATCAGCATAAGTCAGCATCTAAATAAGCAGAGCTGAACTTCACTGATGTCTGCCTTTCATTCCTGTTCCTGTGTATCCTTTCCCTTTGGCCAGCACCATCTATATTCCTATATAGCAAAGCAGACTGAGAAATTTATTCCAGTTTTCTTTCAGCTGGTTTTTCCACCTTACAATTCCTGTACTAACCTCCTTTTTTTTTCAACTTAACTAATCCCTTCTCACTTGGCACCATACAAACACTTCACAGACATAATGGCAGATAACTACCACTGCAATTTGCCCACAAAATCTGCTACTACAGCGTGTGCCTAATACATAAGTAAGAAATCTTTGGCACCCATGTCCGAATTCAAGTGGCATGACACCACTTAAAGTGAATTTTGTTCACTTGTGGAGGAATGAACGAGCCCTAGAAACCGTTCAGCCAATCCGTGGTCCCGTGTTGGCAAGCACGACTGGTTAATGAGAAATGAGCCACAGATGAAGTGAGAAGATCATGGTTAGATGGTGTAGAAGAAAAGATGGGGCCTGTGATGTGGATGGTGAATCACATGAATAGGATGTCTCAGGAAAAAGGAATAGGAAGCAAAGTCAAAATGGTAAGGAAGGGGAAGAAAAGAAGAAAATGGACTGCACAAAGCCTAATATTTGGTCCACTATGATATTTCCATCACCATCCCAAAGCAATACACTGAAAGGGTTACCTTCCCACCTCAATCAGGGCTGTACAGAGGTCAAAATATTGTCTTGAGTCTAAGGACTTGCCTTTTTAACAGGTGTCATGCTCAAAGTACATATTCAATAAAATCTAGCACAATGCCAGTTATGAATCAGCTCTCCCACTCCCAGTATTAATAAAATTTGTGGGTACAATTTATTTTAAAAAGATGCTTATAATATATAATTTTAAAGGCACCCCATGTAGCACATAATGGGGCACTGCAAATTGGTTATATAATAAGTAAGCAGAAGAAAGAACAATATAAACAGTGGTTTGCAGCCTTGACCCTATGGTGTTTCCTGCCACAATGAAAGTAAAAACACATGTTCCCTGACAACCATCAAGCACTTTGTCACTGCTGTTGGACATTTCGATGCCTTAGGGCTTGTCTACATGCAAAGCTATGTTGGTTTGTCTGGGTTTAATTTGCTGCAAAGGGCTATGTGAATTCTTATTTTGACCTAAATCAGACTTGCTTCAGTTTAGTTCAACAAATTAAAGGTCAGATAAAAGCCAAATAACTCTGTTGATTAGGACAATCACTGTTCTAATCAATTGCTTACAATTATAGTGCTGCCTGTGCTAGCAAAAGCTGACTTTCTAGATCCTTATTTTGATGAAGTCTCACCTGATTCCTCAGACTGTCTTAATTGAGTTAAATTGTGCCTGAATGGTCCTTAGGATCTAGTGCCACATGGTTAATGTCACCAAGACTTTGCTTCTGCTGCTGAATGCAGAATATATATCAAAAATAATAATTTCAGTGGAGAAGTACTGGTTACTCTGAAATTTAACATTTTTTCTTCCACTACCACACCCAAACTTCTCAGCATACAAGTGATGGCAGAAGCAGGCCACAGGGCACTCCAAACTAAACAGGTACATCATACACACACTGAGAAACACTTGGGGTTCCCTTAATTCAAAGCCTGCCAGAGCAATTTTGCCTTAGTCTTGCTGGGTTGAGTGCTTGGTAAGAATATTTAACACTGGTGCCCAAACACAGGGAAAGCTATATGCTTAGGGATATGTAATGGAAATGAAGAATTAAATGGATGGAAAACCAGCTAGCATTATTCTAAAGAAGAGTGTCCACAGAAGTAGTTATACCAGTACACGAATAGTAGGACAATTGTAACACTGTAATAACATCAGTACATTTCCTGAATCTTGCTGCAGAGAAGCAGAACTTGTCTTAGTTTTAGAAAGGCTTGTCAGCATCCTTATTTCCAAGGAAGCACTCCAAGGACTTCCTCTTCAGAGGAACAGCTCACAGCAGAGGTTTCATTTTGCAATTTTGCAGTATTAATTTTAGGCCAAGGCAACTCAGACAGGCATAAGGTAAACTTCACCTAATTGCACCAACACTGTCACAAACTATCTGTCAGAAAACAAATAATTTGTTGAGAAGGAAGGCTCTGCTAGGTCACCCCACCACCTGAAACCTCAGCTGCCCCAGAAGCAGCACAACCACAGTGCCAGCACAGTCAGATTGGTGTTTTGACTGCCTGGGTGCTGCTTTGACAGAATTAACAATACATGCCACACACCAAACACATACAGCAAATCCTGTTTCCAAAGGATGGTAAGGTTTGTGGGGTTTTTTAATACCATTAGAGAAAGTCTAGCTCACACTTCAGAACACAATCAAAAACACCAAAGTGTTAAAACTTTATGACAGAATATTCATAATTTTGCCTTTCAAAGACAACATGTCTTCGTGTTTATGGTTAAATACCCAAAATTAGACACAGAAAATATAGAAGCTACATATATTTTGGGGGGTCTAAACCTCTGTTAGTTTTCCCACTGTGGTGACCTGTAACACAGTTTGTTTCAATCAGGAAGCTGCACAGGAAAGAGCTATGCTCTTCCCAGCAGCAGCTTTATAGTTCTTTAAACCTCTTCCCTCACCACCCTCCTTAAGCAAGAATGTGCTTTATGCAACTGCAAGGAAACCACTCGGTTACGCCGTGACACAGATCCCGACATCGTGAGGCCTTTCCGTGCGTGTCCTTAGGTGCCACCTCGGACTCCCGTACGCTCCCTGCTCTGCCCTCACCATGGAGGCCACTAAGCGCACTTTGCCCCCAATTTCACATGCAGACAAGCGCCACGCGGACGTACATCCGCCGCCCGGGCCGCTCGACACCTGCGCTAACAGGAGGCAGAACAGACCCATCGCCCCTTTTGCGTCCCAAGGGGACCAACCGGCCCTTCCCGGGAGCCCACCGCGCCCCCATCCACACCCCAGCCCGCACCCTCCCAGGGGGGATTTAAACCAGACCCCGGAAGCCTACCCTGCCAGCGCAGTGCACGCCGGAAGCTGTAGTCCCAGTTCCCCAGCGGCCATCCTGCCTTTGAGTGGCGTGGGGCAGGGCGGGGAAACCACGAGTCCCGTGAGCCTCTGCGGGGGGGGGAGGGGGGGCCGACGTTTGAACCGGCGGCGTTGTTGTTGACGCCATATTGCTGGTGCGGGGGTTACGGCCGGGAGCGCCATCACCGCCGCCATCGCCGCCGCCCGGGCCCTGCCATCGCCATCGCCCTGCATCGGCCGCCCCGCACCGCGCACCTGGGACCGGCACCGCGTCTCTCGGCACTGCTCGTGTCCCGCCACCGGCCGCGGGCGGAATTTGTCCCGGCCGGGCAGGGCGGAGCGGGCGAGGAGAGCAGAAATCCAGCTGGACTAAACCGGGGTTGCTGCTGCCGCTGCCGGGGCCGGTCCCTAGAGAGAGGCCGGCGGGGAGGCGGCGGAGGCGGCCCTGACGCAGCCGCCCCCTCCTTTCCCTTCCCTCCCCCCCAGCCCACTCCAGACAGCGGGGAAGACGCCTCTGGGCAGGGCCGGCTGCTGCTGTCTCCACCGCTGCCCCTCGCTCCGAGCCCCCTTGGCCGCTCCGCGCCATGGCTTGCGGCGCCACTTTGAAAAGGACTCTGGATTTCGACCCGCTGCTGAGCCCGGCGTCCCCGAAGCGAAGGCGATGTGCGCCATTGTCAGCCCCGGCCTCAGCCGCCTCCTCCTCCTTCGCCGCCGCTGCCTCCTCCCCGCAGAAATACCTGCGCATGGAGCCCTCGCCCTTCGGAGAGGTGTCGTCCCGGCTCACCACAGGTGAGGGACGCGGCACTCCTTGCGCCCGGCAGCCCCCCCGGGGCAGTTCGGCGGGGAGGGGGCCGGGAAGGCGGCCGGGAAGCGGGGAGGAGGGAGAATGGGGGGTTGGGTGGGTCTGGCGTCCCCCTCCAGCCATTTTCTGCCGGGCTGTGCGGCTGGCAGCGGCCGGGGCGATCCCTGCTCGGCTTGGTACCGAGAGACACACAATAGAAATGGCCGTTTGCAGCAGGAGAGGAGGGGGAGGAGGAGGAGGGACGGGGAGGAAGAAGGGGGGGCGGGTTGAGCCGATGCGGGCGGGTGGCCATAGGAAAGGGGTCGGTGAAGGCGGGGAGGGTGAGATGAGACTGGAGAAAGGCACCCGAGTGGCGTGGGGAATGGGGGTGCTGTTGGGGGGAAGCTCGATCCTAGGAAAGGAGGAGGCCGGCTGTTTTTTTTTGGTTTTTTTTTTTTTTTTTCCTCCTTGTACCACGGGAGCTTGGATGTGGCAAGGAGAGCCGCAGGGGCGAGCCGAGCTCCGGAAATGCTGGGGGCGGCAGGGGACAGGGGTGCGACCGAGGTGGGGCTGGGGTCGGGAGTCGGCGGGGCCCCATCGATCCCTTCCTCGCAGCCATTATCAGTGGGTCGAGGCGGCGGCACCTCCTCCCGCTGCTCAGACATCGGGGGAGGGCGAGGGGGGCAGGGCGGGGAGGCCGGCCTGTCATCCATCACCCGCAAAACGCCAGTGGGAAAAGGCAAAAGCGAATAAAACAAAGGGGTAATCCCACTTCCCAGCTCCTTAATACGGGCTATCGTCCCGGGTAACCCATTCTGTGGTATCCTTAGAAGTTCCCTAGGAAACCCGAGCGTTAAAAGTGGTTGTGTGCAAGGGTGAGAATTGCCTTTAGGGCAGATAAAATGGGATCGGGCGGTCTCCTGCTCTCGTCTGGGAGACGCAGGGCAAGAACGAAAGCCTTTTACATTTTTAAAGGTGCGAGAGATGAGTCAACCGGCGGCCCTAAAAGCTCGAGGTCTGCTTGTGTAATGGTTGTCAATTAAAAACCAGCCGAGTTCTTTTTAGCAGCGAGTAGGGAGAGAAGAAAGGAGCCAGTCTTGGTTGGGCAGGAAGGATTGCTTGGCCCGTGCCATGCTTAGCCCAGTGGGCAGCTTCCAGCAATGCACTCAGGGACGGTGCAGCTCGCGGCCATGAACGGCTGTAGCACCGAGGTATGGATGTACCCGTGTCCTTTGTGTGCAGGGGAAAAAAAAGCCCTCTGCAGTTGTTGCAGCAGAATTCCTTCCGCTGTTGTGTTGGGTACTCCCTTTTATAACACAAGTTGGCTCTAGGTTACCAAGCTCTAAGTTTTAATGTTCCAATTGCCATCTACACGTAGGACAGTGCCATGTTTCAATATTGTTAGTTCGGAAAACGGTACCCTACAATACATTTTTTTTAGCGCTTTTACTCCTATAATAAAAAATGGCTATGAGGAAATATAGAGGGCATACAGAGTAAAACTTGGCATCAGTGCTTGATATTTTTTTGAACCTCTAGGAAAGGATCTTGAATGAGTCAGCGGTCTGGGATGAGAGTTGTGATGGATGGCACTCCCTGGTACAGCGAGGCATTGCATCTACTTTGAAATAGATATTTAAAATCAGACCTAATTTAATTGTTTTAGAGGATAAGTATTGCTTCTTTGCAGTGATTTCTTTTGATTTCTTTAGGGTTTGGAGAGCTTAGGTTATGAATATTTGATATAAATATTGTCTGGCCAGTAAATATGTATTGCTGAAAGGAGACAAATCAATAAAAATTTCAGGAGACAACCTAGAGCAGTTTTTGAGGTAATACCTAAGCTTCCACTCTAACCATTCTGAAGGGCTTAAAAACTGAAATGTTACTGAAATTGAGCAAATACAGGCCTCTTTGTCTCCTGAGAAAATCAGAAGTGCAGGTGGTAATCCATGTGAAAAGGTGATTGGTGTACAGACAAGGGTGTATTTTATGTATAAAAAATGTGTTTAATATAATGGAGAGTGAATGACAGTAAATCAAAATGTCTCCTACAGCACTTGAATACTCCTAAGCAAAACGTGAAGCATTTATAAGTTGTTCACGTTTACATGGGTTTTGCTTAAAAGCTCCCTCTGTGGTTTCCGTTACAGAAAAAAAAATCTTTATACCGTGCTGGTATAAATGCATTTGTTAATCAGCTTGCTTAGCTTTAAATTTCAGTTGAATTTGGTGGTATTATCACATTGTATATATTTCATTTCAACCCTCACTAAGCAAAATAGAGCTCATAATTTTAAAGAGGCCTGTTGAAAGGATGTCTGTGATTCATCTAATTTTGTAAATGTACCTGTGAACTAATAGTTAGCATTTTTCCTGGTAGTCACTTGGAAAAATCAGATGGCTTATTCTAGAGCTCTGACTTAGGTTGAGGCCTAGTGTGCTGCAGAAATATATATTGCTTTCCATTAACTCTGAAATGAGTTCACATGACCATTTCTGATGCAGATGTCTGCATTAGGGTTAGATAAATCTTGCTGTATGTGTGAGAAGAATTCCAGTCCGATTTAAAAAGTGTTACCAAGTCACCATTCCGTGTTAGTTTTTGTGTTGGGAAATTTATTAACAACAGCCAGAATTCAGTTGACTAGACTTGGGCTTTTCTCAGCCTGTTACTGTAATCCTTAGATTTCCAGCACTTAACAAGAGTCTGTCTGAATTTTGTGTAATGAAAATGAACGTTCATATGAAGTCAGAGTTCCGGATATGAAGGACCTGATGCTTAGACTTTAAGTTCATGCTTAAACATTTTTCTTCTATCTGATACTCTGACCTGGTAGTGTTTTAACTTCACACAGTGGAGACCATAGCAGCAGCAGGACTTCTTACCACATCGTTCCTCATTTCAAAAGTGAATTATCTGGAAGTAGAATGTTACAGATTGATTGAGGGGTGTGTGAGGAACTGAGAATACAGTGTGAGAGTCAGATGAGAAAACAGCTGTCCGTATAGAGTGGTCATAGACAAATAACCAATGTCTGTTGGAGAGAGGATAGGCTTATTCAAGATGAAATTTATCTCTCACAAGAGTGTTTTAATATTTTGTGGTTATTTGAACAGCTGTTAGGTCACTTCCAGTTTCTCGGTGAATTTGGCAGCCAAACTGTAATTGTGGCTTTACAATCTGTACTTTCTGTGGAATTGTGCTTACTGGCTTGAGCCATACTCATGAGTATGTTTGCTAATTTTTGAATAGCATTATTTGCATGTAGAATGATGTTTTTAAAACTGTGTTCACTACAAGCAGTGCAGAACATACCTGCCTGGTGTAAAACTGGTTTAGTTTTGAAAGAATGGCTGCTCTTAAATATTTTTCTAATGCTTGAATACTACAGATGAGTTTTAGTTTCATGTAAGTTCTAGCTATAAATGCGACTATTTTGTGTAATCAGATTAACTGCACCTGGGTCTGGATGCTGCCTGTGTGTTATGGATACACTTGTTGGGTTTCCTCTGAAGTCCAGAGGATGCTTTTCTGTTTCAAAGATGTTAAATGAATTCAAGGGTGAAAGGAGAAAACATTGGCAGTATTATTTCTGTTCTCTGTTGGATGTTTTGGAACCATTGTTTGCAGTTTTACCCGGATGAAAGATTGTTTGGGAGTGGGGAGAAAAAAAGAAAAACTACACTTAAATTTTTTAAATTCATAGGCAGGTTAGTTGTTGAAAACCTGCATGTCTGGACACTTCTGAGATTGAAGCTGCAGTGGGAAATACAGTTGAAAGAAATTGGGGGGACAAGGGAGAAATAATGTTGATCTTGGGGATTTAAATCTCCTAATTCCTGGTACATAGAAACGCTGAAAACAGACTGAGATAGCAAGTTTTTTTTCCACACTTCATCCAAAACCAGAGGTTAACTTGAAAGACCTCTGTGCAGTCAAAAAGGATGAAATCATTTGAAAGTTCACCGACTTGAACACATGCAGTTTTTCCTCCATCTGAAACATTCATCTGCTTCAGCACTTCCCCAGCAACTAACTAATGTTGCAGAGTAAAACCCAGAGTGGGTGGAGCTGTTGGGACCAGGCCTCCTGTGAGGGACTCTTTACAAATAGAAGGTAGATAAATTTGCCTTTAGAATGTTCTTTTTCTTTCACAGAAAAGTCTGGAAAGAGATTGATGTAATTGACACAGTTTTTCAAAGTTAATGCTAGAAAATGTCTTTGACCTTTTTGAATACGAGGAACTGTTAGTCTTCCCTGTGGGCTGTCCTCCTACGACCTTTGAGTTGCCCTCTTGAGCAAACTGAACTGCTTCTGTCTGAAACTTGGTCAGGCAATGGCCAAGCATAGGTTTGGCTTTTAAATGAACAGATCCAGTGGCTTTGGAATGTGACATATTAGTAGTGCTGCATCTCTTTCTGCTTAATTTCTGTTTTGTTAACTTATCCACATGTGTATTTATTGCTAAATTGTCTCGGTGAAATGCCAAGTTTCTCATTGCGCTCCAGTATTGCAGAAATCATTTTAGGATTTTAAAAACCAAAACATTCCCACCCCTTAAAAAAGTCATGTAATGGCTGCATCTGGACTTCATAATTTAATTTATATGAGAAATTTCTGTATAGATGCCTGTGGTGACTATAAATGTTAAATAGCCTTGGTTGTAGATGTCATAAAATGTTGAAGCCTTTTTTTTTTTTTTTTGTTTCAATGACATGTCTGATAAATGCAGTGTGACAATTTTTTATGTGAAGGGAAGATGTAATTGCTGTGTCTAATACATTTTGCATTGCTTGATTTATTTTTCATTCCTCAATCCCTTGATCAGGAGAACTGGGACTTCCTGAAATAATACATTTGCAGAATGAGCTAATGCATATGTGAGCAACCAACTTGTGGGAGAACCAGAAATTTTGTCAGCCTGGAGTAACTGGATCTCCTGAGGTGGCCTGCTCTGTGCCCCAGTCTGTGGCAAGCTGCTTCTGTCCCTTCTGTAGCTGTAGC